GAAAGAGGAAAACAAAACAAAACAAAAAAATCATTATAATAATTCCTGTAATTTTATTAAATGGAGTTTATTGTGTAAGTGTTTCTTTGGCTTTGCGTTTGGGTTGAATACGAGTGGGTTGTGATAATGTGGTATGTTTCTGTGAAGAAGGAGTTTTGTGTTTTTTAACTGTGCTAGGACGTGTAGGTAACTTTATTGGGTGGACCTGTCTTTGTAGTGCAAGTTGTTATTATTATTATTATTAAAGTAGGCATGAAAATGAAGGTTTCAGGACGATTTTGGGTAAACAAATTGTGCAGAAAACGGATACCTACTTAGGTACATAATCATTTGAAAAGATTCATGTCAATGTATGATTCCTGCAGGACATGTATTTTGTGAAATCGGCGGAAGAAGAAAGCGTAGCACAACCTTCTATGCTTAAATACTCCTACGTCATACACTGACAATGAGCAATGTTGACAGTGTCAGTTGTTTGCTGTTGGCTCCTATAGGTAATTAAATGGACACAACTAAATTATAAAGTCGGCTGAAATGCGGTTCTTTTGATCTTTGAACTTCAGAACCGAGTTGAAATTAAGATCGACTTTGTTTATTTACAGCAAATAAATCAGATATAGCATAGTGTTGATGAAATAAGTTAACGGAAGAGATATAGGCGACGGACCATAGACAGTGCCGACACGCGTTTTTTTCAAATGCCACAGATTTTTGCCAGAGTAGGTATGCCGCACGGGCATTGCCATTGATTATATAGTTCGTATAATAATCAATGGCACGGGGTAGGAAATTTAACATTATTTTCAGGTGGATTAGTACGAATTTGCCGGTTATTAGCACATCGGGTAACCGTTGCGGTTATACCTGCGTATTTTTAATAGCCATATTAATCGTACACGAGTAGCAAGAAGTACAAAGGTATGTGTATATGCAAAACCGAAACGAGACGTTCAGTCTACGTCATTAGCGAATGAAATGGAGCGTCTCGGGCTGAGAGTGCATCTCTAAAGGACGCCGCCAACGCATGCCGTCTCCATGTCACATTACCGCTCTCATGACTTATGGGGCTGTAATGCCATCAACAGTCTAGTGATGGTTTGAAAATTAAATCAATTAACTGGAGAGTGTTTTAAATGTGCGTGTGTTTTACAGGAAATAAATTATTCCGGTTGTATTTTAATTACATGCACGTTGTAATTACGGATTTAAAAGTAAACAAATGATTAATTAACAAGTTCTTACTTACTGAAATCTCAATGTAGAACGTAATTATAAATGCTCGAACTTCTTGTGAAAAATCTTTCATAATAAATGTGGCATAGGTATTCGGATATATTAAAGAAAGATTTTTTTCTATTTCGGTGTCACAATGATGATTTTGTACAACTGTTTTCGGCCGAAAACAGTTGTACAAAGACAGTGATTATAGTCGTTTTTTTTGGTAACTCATCTCTTAAGTTGGCAGTTACTAGTTAGTACAAGTAGGTACTTCGTTGGGTACTTCCACGTTTGAACTTCAAAATGTCAGTCTTACTACGCTGCCAACCTAAAACTTAACGGCATAAAAAGTGTTCCAACATAAAACATGTTAGTTCTAATGTTCCCTATAGTTTCTGATAATGATTTTTTTAATTAAATTAAAGCACCGAAATAGAAAAAATAGTATGAAAAACGCGTGTTACAATGCTTTATTGTAATACTCCTATCTTGCGGACACTCGTGGCTACGCTTCGCGTCGCCACTCGTGCCACAAGATAGTCGTATTACAATAGGTCGCATTGTAACACTTGTCTTTCAATATACTATTATTATTATAGTTATTTAGGTACATATAAAGTCAGGAAAATGACACATTACCTACTTGTGAGAAAATACCGAATCAAGGTAGTGTCATTTTACTGATGAGCTTTGTATTAGACTTTATCCGAAATCGTCTTTTTTTAGCGTACCTATTTGCCTCCGTGAAAAATCGCTATTGGCTGCACTTTGTCGTCTGTCCGTTCGTCCGTCACACGTACTCCTATACACCACTGAACCGACTTGGACGATTTAGGGCTCATTTGAAAGGGCATTTAAATGAAATTTTATACATACGCATTTGGAATAAAGACAAATCTACCAGATTTAAAATTTTGTTTTGCGCATGCGATAGGCGGCTCATTTGAAAGAGAATGGGGTAAGGATCTCGTGCCTACCGGTATTTTTTTCCGGTCGTAGCATTAATATTATTAGGAGGAAAATACGCTCTCGTCATTTATGTTTGCATAATGACTTTTTAACTTGTTACTATAATGTTTCAATTTTCATTATAAAACTTTTGATTAATAACGGGCGATCAAAAATGAGTTGCTGTCGAGTCGCCTTTGGAAGTTAAAGTTAAATACGATTTACCATGTAAACAAAAATTTCAAAGGTAACTCGATAGCAACTTATTTTTGATCGCATTGTATTAATGTGTCAGTTTTTATAGAAGTCTGGTAAAGTGGAGGCAGGAAAAGTAGTCAGGGAAAGTCTTATTCCCACTGTAACGGAAACAAAAATTTCCTGACATTAAAGTAGGCTCTTACGGTAAACTGCTGGCAGTAATGGTAGAGCTCTGGCAAAGTAAACCTTCAACGGCTCCGCGCGGGCCAGTTGTAGCATTTTGATTAAATTTGGCCACGCATAAAACTGCGGCGGGCCATTGACGAATAGCCGGGGCTTTTCGTTGTCACAATGCGCTTCTGTTCAGCGAGGTGATATATAAAATGGAAAATACGTGTTGGATTATTATTGCATCTCACCCATATGATTACCTATAATCGTGGAATTGGCCACCGTTTGTAATGTAACGAGTGTATGATTAACGCGTTACCTGGTTACATAAATACCGTCGGGCGACTTCTTAATGGTTAGGTGCAAGAGATGTCTATGTTGCAGGACTAGGGATATTTTTTAACTTTCGTAACGGCAGCTCGCTATAGATTTAAGTTTTTCGAGGTTTTCGGGGTGGGAAGCTGTTTATTCCAAAATGTTATTATTTTCAAGTCAATAGATCCTTAATGATCGATATTTTGTGAATCATTGCCTACCGGACGGGTTGTGAGCGTTTAATTTTTTGGAAAAAGTTATCAGAGTTAGTCTGACGTACAATAACACAATATTAATGTCTTTTACGTGAGCAAAACAACTGACTCAGAATTATTCACAGTGATGTCATATAGCGGCACGAGAAATGCGAATTAAGCGAACTTGAAACCTCGTCGGTTTTGTAAGATGGCCTTTGTATCAATCAAGCATCGGGTTAAGAAGAACTGTTGAAGTTGGTCGATATTAACATATTAGCACCATTTTGTAGGCGTGTTAGAAAATTGAAAGAGTAGGGGCGCGTGTAGAAGAATTTTAAAGAGAACACTGATTGTAAAGCCATCAACGGGTAAACCACGTTCATTCAATTTGCGTTCGAACCTTGATGGAGCTTAGAACCCGTCATTTGAGTTAGCACCAAAGCCGTCCGTCAATCAAAAATTGTAGGGATGTAAATAACCGAATTGGAAAAAACCGCGCAAAATATCAGGGCGGAAATGTCGCTCGGGACGCATTTTAGAATAAATCTACCAGAAAATAGGCTCCAGTGATAATATGTACGGTACGATGGGACTTTTCCCGCGAATAAATCAGACGTTTCAACTATTGAAAAATTTCAATGTGAAAGTTTCAAGAAACATATTAACTCACTTTCGGTTTGGCTTTGGAGTGTGCTATTAATAAATCGCATTACGGGAGCGGGAAGTTGGTTGAATGCAGACGATAAAAGTTCAATGCTCAATCAATTGCCCAGGAAGAGGTAATCGTACAAAAATCCAGAAAGATTCGACAGTATTCCTTCTGGAGATCCAAGTTTCATTTTGTATTGTGCAGCTTTCAGGCATCATAAGGCAGTACTGATTTGTACCATAGGTTAACCATCGCTGCCAGAAAACGTCATAATTAAGGTAACAAAATTCTTATTGATTTGTATTAGAAATAAGTATTGGTTCTCTATACGTCATGATAAATATATTTATTTCTCATTGGGTCAAATTTTATTGAAAGTAATAAGAGAAATGCTTAAAGAAAATGATCCTTCTTTGTAAATGGACTGAATAGAGCAGAATTTTATCGCGTAAAATAATTATGTTAGAAGGAATTTTGGATTCTTTTCTTTTAAAATTGTATTGCCAGTTGAATAAAATAAGGAAATTCCTATAAATGAGTACCATATTTATCATTTTTATTGAGGGTCCAATAGGGTTAGGTAAGTTAAGGGGGTCACGGAAGAGCAATTACATTTTCAATGCTCGCCGTAAATGTAAAAGAAACTTGAATAAGAAAATGTTAGAGAAAGTGAATCGATTTTTATTTTATCAATAGGTATACCTATTCGATCATTTTATTATAAATGTGTGTTTATTGTCTGCAGTTAATTAGCTCAAACGAGAGTGCCAAGTTTTTGAATTTCAGGATTAATAGAAAGGGTCAAATTTACGTAAAAAACTAGGTAATTGTATTAGAATTTGTTTGTTGAGCTAGCCGTGGATACCTTTTGGGCAAAAATCTAACATTATTGTAAAAATAAAAAAAAAACTAAATAAAACGATGAAGGGTTTCCCAGCAATGTTACAATATGTCTCATATTAGACATATATTTTATATATTATATAAATTTTATATATTATATAATATATTTTTTATATTATATATACTATGCGATCAAAAATGAGTTGCTGTCGTCACCTTTGAAATTTTTGTTTACATGGGAAATCGTACTTGACTTGAACTTCCAAAGGCGACTCGACAGCAACTCATTTTTGATCGCTCGTTATTATATTTTGAAATATAGGTGAGCCCATACAGTATAAGATGAATGGTATAGGAACCTACATAATGTAGGTAGGTATAATCGGTAAATAGTTGTGTATAATTGATGAATGTACCTAAATTACAGTAACTTCTCAACAACCATATAATATCATCAAACCTGACCTTTTAAAATGTATATTTTTCTATAACAGGTACCTAGATACGCAACATAGCTAAAAATAAAAGGTGCACATCGTACTTCATCACCATGTTGCGAACGTAATAATGGTCCTTACAGCCATATAAGCGTTAACGAGATATCCAACTACCCAAGCAAGTCCTCTAGCGGGTTGTGGAATCACGTAAATTGCGTACACAAAAGTATGAATTATTCTGGATACGGTGTAAATGCGAAATATGTATGAAGCAATCAATGGCGCTGGATTGGTTAGAATGTACGTAAAACCAACTACGAAGAATAGAGGAATGTTTTCCATATCATTTAAGTGAGCTCTACAAAATTTCATATTGTTTACTGAAAGTGACGTAACAATGGTGTACCTACCTCCGAACACGGTCGACGTCATCATGTGATTTGCGAAGAGGTTTCAATAGGGGTGCATCTTCAGGTGAGGTGAGTACCTAAAAAAGAATTAAACTATAGAATTAACTATTGAGATAGGTTAGGGAGAATTTCACACTCCAGTATAGGCGCACTCGAAATTTTCCAATTTTTCTTTACTTTTATAAAAAAAAGCATAGGTGTATGAAATCAAATTTTAAAACACATAATCTAAATTTTGATTAGAACCTTCAATCATTTCATCTTGTCCATAGAGTATGACGTATAGACGTATACATACTGAAATAAAATTTAAATTCTTTCAATTATCATTCGCATTATCGTCAGGTTCACATATCCAGCGCCCTTTGATCGGAATGCGATAACGTTTTCGGCAGCAGTGTTTGACCCATCGCGAATTTTTGAATCACTTACAGTTACAGACAAGTTTTGTACAGTAAAACACAGTTACGCTGTACGAAATTTGTACAAAACTTGTCTGAAATTGATTCACAACTCACAAGTCGCGTAGACGTAGAGTCTTAAACACTCCTGGAGAGAGAATTTTTACGGCACCACTTGCAGGAAAGTTTAATAACGTTGGCATCAAGCTATATCTACTCAAAATAAAAGAAGGTACAGAGCCAACTAACAATATAAAATGTATTAACAAATTATATTTTAAAATAGGTATAGGTACTTACTCCATGTTTACGACGCTGAACTGATGTTAAAATCGACATTAACATCATCTTTAACACCAAAATTGAGGTATACGTTAAATAACAACGAAATACCTGATTTTCTAAACTTAAAAGACTTAACCCTCCCATTTTTCTTTAAACAGGTTTTTCGCTTGCAGCGCGTAAACTTCGAATCGATAATGCACGGTATGATGGAAAAATGCTGTAGGTGTTTTGATAATACTATCGCGTGATAAGATAATTACCGCGTATAGTGAGTGCTCTTAACCTATATGTATCGATATAGGCATAAGGCAAGTCGATGTCAATGTCTTTCCAAGTGATCAAATTCTTTATTTATAGCATTACGCTCCCGACAAAGCCCTTTGCATACTTGCAATTCGCTTCCTCAATTCTATATTCAGCTTGCCTTCTAGCATCCTTCACACCTTTCTCACTTTTCGTTTTCCCAGTACTTTTTGTGACGTTACAAGGTCGGTCTTGGATTTTGGTCCAGGGTCATGGCATTGGTTGTTCGATCAAGGTCATTGCTTTGGAATCTGAACCAAGATCCTGGCCTTGAGTTTTGGTCCAGGGTCGTGACCTTCTACTTTGACCCAAGGTCGTGGCCTCGGGATTTCCCAGGTCATGAGGACTTATCCGACGAAAAAAGTCATGGCCTTGGTGAAGCGGATTTCCCGGTTACGCAACTAAGGCGTGACCTTGTTCTTATGGTGCACTATTATTGCAATCTGTAGATGAGTGAGAACAAATATATAAATAATGTCAGAGAAAGGTGCTGTATTGCAAAAACTAAGATATTCTTAAAAACTGGCAAATTATGCATTTCTAATTATATGTACAAGTATACAAATGGAGGACACAAACGGAATAATCTGACCTGGAAGTTGAATCTAATGTCCCTATATTGTAACAAGGGAACTTGTGGCTGATGTGCTCTAATGGGTGGATGGTTGTCTGCAGCAGGTAAACTCTCAATAGTGGAACAGGCCGGATCGGAAACTATAAATCGACAGGTGACAATAGTCGAAAATCAAATATCCACACAAAGTAGACATAAAAAAGAACCTGAAATAGATTCGCCCATTACATTAAGTTTTAAATATTTAATAAACCGATACAACGAAATATCGAAGGATCCTCAGTATTACAATAACTTTTAACGATAATTTATTTTAATGTTACAAAATACATCAAATTCATGTCTTGGCCATTGAGATAATGCTCTTAATCTTGTTTTGATCAAAATCCATGTGGTCGCCAAAAATAGATCAAATTCATGTTTTGATCATTGAGATAATGCTCTTGGTCTTTTTCCCAACGTTCTTGGTGCATAAATAACGATTTTGACATGTTTTGATCAAAATTCATGTGGTCGCCAAAAATAGATCAAATTCATGTTTTGGTCATTGAGATGATGCTCTTAGTCTTTTTCCCAACGATGTTGGTGCATAAATAACGATTTTGACATGTTTTGATCAAAATCCATGTGGTCGCCAGAAATGCATCAAATTTATGTCTTGAGCATTGAGATAATGCCCCTAGTCTTTTTCTCGACGATCTTGGTGCATAAATAACGATTTTGATTATTTTGATCAAAACCCATATGGCAATAATTTAACATTTTTGAATCACACACATGCGGTTATCAAATGTGCACGTGATGTACTCTTGCTGCATCAAGATAATGCGTTTGAAACCTTTTAAAACTCTAAATTCATGTATAAAGTGTAATTTTTGCTACATTTTGCTCTAAAACTTTCGACCTATACCACAGAGAAGAGTTATATTAAAGTATTACACATCTAAGAGTCATAGGGAATAATCTAGCGGAAGTCCCAACCCGATACATGACCTAGGGAATGAAATATGTTGATTTCTATTATATTGAGCCCGTAGTTTTTCCTGTTCCCGATTCACTCGAAGTCCTATAACTTTTGTTCCTATTGAACCAGCTTCCTGAAAATCAATAGCGTCCTTAATGTCCAAAGAACCCGTACACCAAATTTCAACTCAATCGGCCACTTTTAAAAAGAGTTAGAGCGCACACGGACGGACGGACGGACGGACGACAATACAAAACTATAAAGGATCTGAGGATCCTTAATAATTACCTCGTAGATGTTACGAGCTTCCGAAATAAACCGAAAATACCCCAATAACTTAGGTATGAACTTAATAAACAGTGCAAACTTCTACAATCCTCAAAATTGAGATTTCCTATAGCTTTTAGAGTGGCTAATAAAATCCTAACATGCTCACACGTAGCTAACAAATGATAGAATGCCCGAAGCCAGGAATTGTACAAGAAGAAAATCCAATTTTACTCTTTTACATTGTGACAGGAAATGAAGAAAGTATCAGAAATAGGTCAATAGGTCAAGTACAAACAATAAATAAGTAAACAAAACTATAGGCAACACATAAGACATAGGTACCTACATAGAAATGGAAAGCAAATTCACCATTAATATGTTACATAATGTCTTGCGGCCCAATGTCATAGCGCCGATATTTCGAGTAAAAATTCGCACAGGCTAAGTACAAGTAAAACATGTAAGGCAACTTTTACCTTGCCTAAAGTTAACGTTGACGGCAAGTAGTTAGCTCAGTTCTCGTATCCAAAACCTGCAAATAATCAAAAGAAAACCTCCCAAGCTGCATGCAGAGGTCGATATATAATTTATTGACTAATTTAATGCCTAAAGGGCCTAGCTCTACTTGCAATATGCTTCTATAACATGTACGGTACTTAAACGACCAACCTCTCCAGAGGGAAGTGGAGGACTACCTGAATGTGATAGCATTTAACCCAAAGGGGCAAAATATTACACTTCAAGTAAATGAAATGCATATGGCGGTACTTACAATAAGCCAGCAAAAAATGCAATTATATACTTATTATATAATTATATTATATATTATATTATTATATTATATATTATATATATATATATAATATATTTTTATATATTATATACTCCCTATTGGAGTTTTTAGGTGAATTATTCCAGAATCCTCAATTCAATGAATCCAATTGCCAGAGATTAATAAAATGTAGATGACGGCAATTAAAATTCCGTGCCTTCTCAACTAACGCCTCAGCTGTTGGTTTAATGCAGCGGCCCTCGCCAAAAGTGGAAATCAATACGCATTGCGCGGTAAAATTGCGTGACTAAAATTCCAACAATTGTTGAAGCCATCTATTCAGAAGTTATGAGCATCTTTCAAGTAAGTATACCGTGAACACTAATAACGCTTGTAAATGAAGAAAATAAATCGTTAGGTACAAGAGATGCATAGCTAGTAATATCACTATATAATTACTTCCGAAGATGATGAGATTATTAAAACTGGTAACACGCTAATGGAACGCGCAGGACGGCAGCAGCATACTAAGTGGAATTGGAAAGGATCAATTTCACACCGTAGTCTTTGAGTCTTTTTCTGAACAATGCAACAGTAAATTAAAATCCAAAATGTTTAATAAATAAGAAAGTTGATATTGCACAGCCTGCGTGTGCGCACATTAATCGGCAAGATTCATCTTGGTTCAGGTGCTCAGGTGTAAGCTGCCGAATTAAAAAAGAACTAAATATATTGAAAACTGTATAGTATCTAATTGCGTCCTCGGACGGAAAAAAATGTGTTGACGGCGATTTCGAGGGGCCCATACAACACTTGTGTAAGTAGAGGCAGTTCTGATCGTATATGTGTGAGTGATTTTGCGTGTCCAAGTGTGCAAGTATTTCTTCTATTATTGGTGGAGATAGGAAAAAAGTGTAAGAAGCAAAAATACTCTTATACTTTCAATTTCTGATAAAAAGAAAAGAGCATGAGATAAAAAAATAATTTTTTAAAATAGAACGGTTGCTTCTTCGGGGCTGTACAACGATATGAAATAAAGGTATAATTACCTACCTTAGTAATTAAAAAGCGCCGTAGCAGTAGCATCTATAGTAGGTAATGATAATTTGTTATAATTATTTATGCTAAATAGATAGGGATAAGTATTTAAAGGAATATATTGTTATTGTACCTACGTAAATGTAATTTCTGGCAGCAAAAGGAAGTAGCGACCGAACTTGGGTAGTACTTATATATATTTATAGAAAAAAATTAAATCTTAAAAAGAATAAACAAATCCAGCAGTTTTTCTATTAAAGGAAGCAAGACGACAATTTATACAGATAATTAAGTGGGTATAATGGTCAATCAGGTATTAAATGAGTGGAATAATTTTTATTAAAGCATGGTTAGATGGCACTTATGCATGTTAGCGAGAACCAATTGCATGTCAAGCAAGCGTCTCTCCGCCTCGCGTTTACATTCTCTCGATTGGTTCCGTAACAGTTTCGGCCATTTTATAACTCGCTTGTTTTTTTGAAGGTGGAGCTTTCCATCACCTATCGATATATGTTAACACCATGTCCTTTCCACTCAAATGGTTACTGAGATTTGTCATAAGCAAGAGTGCACTTTTCAGGAATAATTAATATTTTGTGCGGTTAGTTGCGCCTGTTACACTCCGTTAACTCGTACCGACCTATTGACTTACTAGTTGTACCTAAAATTATAATTGCCCAATTATCGACATTTCCTAAATGGATTGTGAAATTAATTTGTTTTAGCAATTACTTTGAAGTGCTGTGTGAAAGTGAAATAAAATTTAATAAGTTGTGACTTCCGTACGCCGAGATATTAAAATGGATACGGGTGAGTAGCATTGGTTTATATACTTACTTACCGTTTCTGTCTTATCCCACTTCCTTTGCATTGTCAAAAACTTGAGGTGCAGCAAATACCTACCTAATTATCTAGGCACTTACCTATACAGAGTGGTGACTTGCGCAACGCATCATAGGGATTTCAATGTAAAATTCATAACATGCGATTATTGGCTCCCCAAATTATTTTAGAGCAAAAATGTATTAAGGTTTTTTGTAGAAACATATTTTTTACGTCACTAAACCGTGTTAGTTTTCAATTTTTTGCAGAATAAAGACGGAAAATTGGAAAAATAAAACCCCCATCTTATATCAATAATCTGTGATGCCATGGAATTTTCTAATGGATTTTATGATCGACTTGGTTACTGTCTTGCATTTAATGGGGACTTATTCGAACATTTATTGTAAATTGCTATATTAGGAAACCGTTTTTAGTAGGTAATCTGGTCTTTCTTTATGTTGAATTCGC